GGGTCCTGCCCACAGGCTGTATGTTTGATACATCTAGCACAGGTGATCTTTCCTTGCAGCAGTCAAAGTCTCCAGGTGATGGATCTCCTTGGATCTCTCAAGTGTGTTTTACCAAAACTACTTCTTATCCTTGCAATGATAGGACATAGGTATTGTCCTTGTCTCCTGCTTTACCTGTTACAAATTAGGTAGCTGTATAAGAGGGTTGTTCATGCAGTGTTAAGAAAAGGTTGGAGAAATGCTGTAGAGTTTGGATAGGGATGATCCTGCCTTGGGCAGGGTTGAACTTAATGAGGCCCATTCCAGGCCTGCTTTTCTATGGAGGTCATGAACTAGAAAGATCCTTTATACTTCCAGCAGTATAGGTGGTGGTCATATTTACCAGACACCCATTAGTCAGAAGCACAAAGATGAATAACACTATTGTCATAAAATTGTTGCATTGTGGCACTACATAAAGGCGGTCTTATGAAGACTGCAAAATGGCATGTTACCTGTACCATAGAGTTTACATCCTAATTCAAGAGGTATATGAGTATATAGCTCTCAGTCCATTTTGCAGCACCTGGAAGTCTGGCTGATATCCTCAGCAGAAAGGAGCTCTTTTTATTTATTTAATTTTCATCTAGCTAATAAACATTTAGTAATTTTTTTCATTGCTTGCCAGATTTTGCTTTGCTTTTGGTTATAAACAGCGTAGTATGTCCTTCCTTTCTTTGACTCTTGCAGGCTTAAGAAAAATAATGCCTCAGATACTTCATTTCATCTTGAAAGTGAGATCAGATCCTTGCCTGCATACTTACTGCTTCCTACTGTCTTGTTCCTTGTTCAGATCCTGGCTTCATGGGTAATTTTACCATGCATTACACCTGTATACTGACTCTTTCCTACCTCCCTCCTCTTCTCCCCTCTCCCCCTCAAAAAAATGAAAAGGAAAAAAAAGCATTTGGTCTGTGCTTTTAAAGACCTAGGCGATAGAAGAAGTTTGGAATCTGTATCAAATGTATTGTACATATAATGTATTTTATGGGTGTAGCTCAAAAATCACACTTTTAAAGCAGAATCCTATGTCCCAATTAATATTTTGTATTTGAATTGAAGACTTGTTAAAAGAAGTTCTCTCTGTTCATAAATTTACATTTTTCTCTGACTCATGAAATGTCAAGTATGCAACTCAGCTTGGAAAGCAATTGTGAAAAATTGCTATATAATTCTTGGAATTCTGAGACGCTTATTTCTCTCACTTGACAGTAACTGCTCAATTACCTGACATTACTGTGAGCATAAGCACTGGGTTCTGAAGTATATTTTGTCTAAGGGGATGAAGGGGGAGGGTGGGTGCACATGTGCCTGCATGGATGTCACTCCCTTGAGCAGAAATACTGCTGATTTACAAACATGGAAAAAAGAGGCCAGTAATTCTGCACTGTGAGTGTTGTATTACAGTGCATTGTCCTTCATTTGCCCTTATTTTATCTTTACACTAAAGTTCCTAGGTTCGTGTTCATCAGGAACATGAGAACGTCAGAGACAATAAATCATAAATCATATGCCGTTCATTAGGGAAATACATATTTTATTTGGCATTCTTCATTGGCAAGAGCATAAAATGTATGCATAGGAGATGTTCGCATAATCATAGTAGAGTAGCATGTCCTTCTAGTTCTCCACAATTTTTGGTTAGCTGAGTATTGTCATACAGTCCATTTTTGACTTCCTAATATTTTTGCACCTTACCAGTGAAGAATTTTGTCTACTACTGTTTTTCTGTTTGTTTCTTAGTTTGTGTATTCTCTCCCTCTTGTCTCCCTCTCTCTCCACCCCCTCCAAATCTTTTCTTTGAATGGAGCAGGGAGAGGAGGCAGCCATCTAAGTCTCTTCTCTTTGTCCTGTCAGCTTTCTCCCCTTTTGGTTGCCACCAGTTGCATTATACCGTGAAACATTGGAAAGCGGGTTTGTAGGTAGTTTAAGAACATGTAAATTAACATGAATATAAATATGGTATATTTAAGCCTCCATTTTATTTTGGAAATATCGTGCTGAAGGTGCCACAGTGGTGCAGAGAGGTCATTGGTGTTTGCTCATTTCCAGTGAGATCTATAAAATCATTGGGTACCAGGTTTACTATTGTTTGTTGCTTTTGGTATGTATTATAGTGTGTTTTCAAGAGTTTACTGGTTTGTTGTCATTGTCAAGGCTTAATTTTATATAAATTCAAAGGGAAAGTTGGACTTTGATTACCCCATAACTATTTGTAGTAAAATCATTACCGCCCCCCACACAGGTAAGTTTATTGAAAATAAAACATTTGTACCTTTCAAATGCAAACCACTTTTAGCTGTTATTTGACTTGGCATTAATTTTTAAATACCTGAACATGCTGATACCATGCTGTTAAACATTATATAGCAAGTTCTGAAGAAATAGTTGAGTGAGCAGCCTCACGTACCAGCTTTATCAGCCTTCCTTCCAATCAACCTTACTTGCACTGTGGGAACCACCATGCTTTTTCTCTAGTTGTTTGGGTTTTAAGATTGTAGATCGTCCATCACTAGGGTGGTGCCAAGTTGCTATAGTCACAATCAGTGGACCTGACACAACTCTTGGCATTAATTTAAAAATGAGTTAGCTAGTGACAGTCCCAAACATTGTATTACTGTTAAGGGAATGTTGTAACCAAAGGAACTGTGATGTGATAATAGTTTTGGAAAATAAAATGCCTGTCTGTGGCAGTATTTATAGTAAGCATTCTTTAGATGTTGATTTGTGCATCAATTATATAGGAAGTTTGTTTTTATAGTCCCTCTAAACTTTTGCCCACAGGCCTTCTGAGGTCAGAGTCGATGCAAATCTGTTTCTTCCTGTATAGTTTCCATGAAAAGATTCTCTGTGTAATGATTACCTCAGTTATCTGCTGCTGTGGCTCCCATTGTCTGTTAGTTATAAAAATCTATTTTAGTGTTGATTAGCTAAAACTAAACCATACAGGCTGTGGTTTGCAAATACCTCTTGTTATTGTTTATGTGATAACACTTTCATGCTGTGCTCCTTTTAGAACTATTTTGTGCTTGTGTCTTTGGAGTTTAAAGTTTTCACTGTAACGTTTTAAGTTGTACTTCCCAAGTTCTTGACTAAGTTTAGAGCAGTGTGATTTAAAGTCCCTGATCCATCAAGTTAGTTAACTAAGTGCAGGATTTGGCCCTAAAAGCACAATATAAAAAGTAAAGAAATGGACACCTTTATTTCTTTCTTGCTGTTGATGTTAACAAGATAGTGTTTATCATCTGTGATCTGTAAGCTAAATATCTCTTCTTTGACAAAGGTCAGTAGGGGGTTTATCAACTGTCAGTACTAAATTAGTATTTTGGTAGATAAGAAATATGTCGATCATTTCTGTCGTGGTGTATTCCGTCACTGTTTCGGGTTGCTAAGGGATATGAGTGCCTAACTGTTAGTACTTTTGTTCACTGGTCTAACTGTTGTATCTCAGCTAAACTGTGGTGTCAGCTTTAGTTTCTTAATGCAGGCTTTGTAATGTAATTTGGACTATTTTTTCACTGAAAAAGCACCTTAGGATTCTTTCACCCAAACTCTACATCAGCTTTATCTTTGACAGTTTCAATTACTTTCAGTCTAAAGAAGTTTGCTTATAGCAGTCCCCTATCCAGAAATCAATGTAATCAACTTCTCTGACTCTACTACCTTTTCCCCTTTTCCAGAAGGGTGTATTTTAAGGAATAAAAATACCAGCGGTGGCAAAAGGGGTGCATAAGACTCCGGCCGGAAATGGTGCTGGGTGGGTGCAGAGCCATAGCCAGGCATTCAACATGGTGCGTGTCCTGTGCAGAGCATCCCCAGCCCCCCC